CCGGCGCTTCTCCGCCGAGCTACGTCCTGCGCCGGGCGTGGACCGGACGGTCCCGCTGCAGCGGCTAGCGGGGGGCTCCGGGAGGAGACAGGTTGGAGAGAGCTGAAGGGGATGGGTGAAGGAGGGGAGGGGGGGACTGGGAGCTTTCTGGGTTTGTGTATTTGGGGGGGTCAGAGTTCGTGACCTCTCTCTCGTCTCCGAAGTGCGCGCTCCCGTCCGCGCTTGCGCATGAGTGGTGTGGAAAAGCGGCGAGAGGAGGTCGTGACGTTCCCTGGGTGGAGGGATGAGACGACCGAGCCTCTCAAAGTCGACTGTCCCCTATTGGCGAGGAGGGAGACTGCCCCGCCATTGCTGCATGTCATGGTCAAGGACTTCTGGAAGTCGCGTGCCCTTAGGTCGTTAAAGTTTTGCGACGTTTCAGATTTCAGTAACAATAGATAACCTCATCAATTTTAGATAGTTCTGTTTCTAATTTGTGGAAAACTGGGCTCTCTTATAGGCTCTTACCTTAGACTAAGGTTTATTAGAGGACTAAGAAGTCTGGGTATATCCCAATAAGGTATTTAAAATTCCCTTTAACAAAACAAGCTAGGGTAGAATAGTGTATAGTAAGGCAAAGTTGTACTTACCAACTCTTGTAAGTAAATAGGTATAATGACTAACGAGCAGGAATAGAATCATTTAGGACATAAACTTCTGGAAGGCTGCTGTTTTTGTTCAGTGATGTATTCCCAAGCCTATAGGACAGTGCCTGGTGGTCAGTAAAGATTTGTGAAATGAAGAGGCGCTGATGGAGCATCACATTCTGAAAGTGACCGCCTGTGGCACCTAGGTGTGACAGGAAGAGCTGCCCTGTGTGCAAAGCACTGTGTGCTTTAGACTTCATGAGAAGGGGTCCTCGAAATTTCTTTAGTATTGATTACACTAGAAAAGCAGTTATGGATTCAGGCCAGAAACTCAACTGAGGAAAAACAAAGGTGCATCGAAGACATTTCCTTTGTCATTTCCATCTAGAACTAGGCAGGGCACAGAAAAAGGGCATGCAACACTCTCTAACAAGTGGAAATATGCTTTATGCTTCATTCTCTATAAGTCCCCTCTTCCTTTTAGTATCATTTGTTCTATCCCCTCCCCCCCAAATCCGTAAGGTGAAAGCTAAGAAAGTCTATTTTAGGTCCAATGGGAAAAAAGGCAATCTGAGATCTTTTCTCTATTCTCAGTACATAATATGCATGTTTATAGTGATGCTTGTGGTTACGACATCCAATTAATTCACTTAAGTCACAATAAGTTGACTTATTAAAATTTGGAAGTAGAAGCCATTTTGGGAATGTCATTTGTGAGTGAAGAAGAGTATCCCCTAACTATGCTTCAGGAAAACAGGTCAGTGTGGTTTGTCCTTAAATGTAACTCTTAAAAAAATATGGTTTAAAAGACACCATCACACCAAAAGTAGATACAAATTTATTTTGTATAAATATAGTACATATTAACATTATTTACAATGCTAACAATTTATAAAGGATCTATCTATATGGACAATAAAATACAAACTAGTATCACTTTAAGTAAAAAGTTTCTAGAAATTCATAAGTCATTTTAAAAAACAATAGCATTTCAAGATTGGTTCTTAAGATGGGATGACCAACTCATATAAAAGAAAAGGCTGCCTCCCCTTCATGCCTCACCTCCATCCCCCCCACCCTCAGCAAAAGAAAAAAAAAAAAAGGTTTGACATTGAGGCTTTTTGAAAATTTACTACTTCCTTTATCTTTGGAAAAAACTACTAGAAATTATCTATTAAAGGGGGAAATAGTTACAGATAAAATTTTCCTTTAGAAAATAATATTAAAAGCGGCATAGGCTCCAGAATATTTGTGTCTTGGAGGCACTCAAAAAAAAAAAAAAATCACAAGGGATCCACTTGAAGTAATTTAGTTCACCAAACAAATACTAAGTACCCAATGCATCACTCTGCCAGATGCTGAGGGGGAAATCTCAAATGAAAAAGCTATAGTTGCTGTCCTCAAGAATAGAATGTGATAAGCACTATAAGAAAGTTTGTTTAGGAGGAAAGATCAGATCTAGTCTGAAAGAAAAGGGGAGGGAAGGACTAAGATCAGCTTCACAAAGAAGTCTTGGATAAACAGAAATAGGGGTGGAGAAGGGTGAAAAAAAAGAAAATTGAACAGAAATTTTGAGGTTGGCTGGAGTGTATAATAACTGGGGAAAAGTGTTCTATGCCAAGACACTGGGAAGCCAATGAAGGTTGTCAAAAGCAGGGATGAAACTAGAGCTGTGCTTTAGAAGATGGCTCTGGCCGTGTTTAAAATGGGGCCATGCAGAGAAGGCATTGGAGTTAGAAAAAAAGTTATTCCAGTCACTGGGAAGAGGTAACAAGGATTTGAGCCAGGGCGATGAATATGGAAAATATACAAGAGCAATTGCAGAGGGTCCTGTTGAGATTTGGAGGCAGATTCTGGAATCTAGAATGGTGTTTTTCCGTTATAGAAGAAAATAAACAGATCTGAATGAGAAGAAAGTAAGTTGAGTTTTAGTGATGTAAAGTTTAAAATGTTTAAGGACTCATGTGTAGATGTCCAACAGGTAGGTGCAAATATGGCCTTGCAGGGTGGTGGAAAGAGTAGGTCTAAGCTCTGAGTTATAATTAGGGCATTTGGGGAGGCTGTGTTTGAGTTGTACATGACAAGAATCACTTGTCTTCACTTGTAGAAGAAACAAATATTCAAATAATATACAACAAATATTTTCTAAAAGATACAAGGTAGGTATTTTATGAGAAACTGATATATTAGACACAGCATCTGCATTCAAGGAGTGTACAGTATAAGAAAAAATAGGATTTGCTTCTCTGGAAGTCCCTGTGACTACATTTGACTACTACAGTGGATTTCAGACTTCAAAAACAGGTACAATGAAAGCACATTCCGAGACATATCAACATATGCTGTGATAACATTTACATTTTAACTAAATTACTAAATAGCAGGCTCTTCCTATTTCTGGATATAGTCTACCAACCAAACATAAAATACACATTTGGCTAACAAAACTGTACCTTAAAGTTGTCTTCTTCACTTAGTTGTGTCATTATAACTTTATATTAAACAAAGGTTGCTCTGATGATCTTATTTTAAGAAATGCTACTACATGCTCAAAGAAATCAAGCTTTTGGTTTGAAGAAGAGAGAATTAAGTATCTTGAGCAAAAGACAATAGGAGGATACCCGGTATATTAGGGAACAAGGGAAAAGAGGTTGAAGAATTGTTCAGAAACATGGGAAAAATTCAGATAACCTTTCTCATTTTCCTAGGGCTCTGGTTGGGTCCTCTACATTTACAACTGCCGCAGACAAAGGAGGAAGACTAGTTGGGGACACACACTGAGAACACCAGCCTTCCCCTAGTTTAACCTGGCATCTCTTGTATAGGTTACTTTCATCATCCTATTGGGCTTAGCTTTATTGCTGCTCTTCTTTCTCCTCACGAATAAAAGGAGTTACTGAAAAGGGTTTGATGTAAGCGTGTGTATCAGTGTAATATATACAGCATTCTTGGGATCTAGGTACTATTTATACTTATAGAACATACCCAATAATACCTTTCTATTCTCTAAAATGTTAGCTATCAAGAGATATTTTTCAAAGTAGCTATACAACATAATGTATATATATAATTAGGTTTCTCAGTTGACACTGAATGAGCCAGGTTAAATAATTGATCAGCTTTAGTAAGTTATGAGGATTGATAAGGGGGAAAGGGAATGTAATACAATTCCACATTTAAAACATTTTTATGGGGGTGGGTAACAGCTTCCTCAAAAAGCTATATTTTATATTTTTCAAAACTCCTTATGGAGCTAAGCCAGTAGCTAGTACAACCATAAATGAGCTTCACATGAAGTTAGGAGAACTACTAGGAGTTTGTGCAGTGTTTCTTCTATTCAGATTTATAACTGGCTCTTGATCCAGCTAGCTGTTGGAAGATAGAATAGCCTAGCTGATATTTTGTAAGACTCTGAAGTTTAAAGCAAATCTTGTAGTTAGAAGGTTAAGAGCTCAAGAGGAGGAGAAAAGAACTCCAAATAACTTATTGTTTTGTGAAGTGCTGGACGCAATGATGTAGAAGGAAACACTTTATAAAGTATACCCTTGGTCTCCAAAAAGGATATACTAAAAACTGCAGGGATTTAAACATGGAAGCCTTATTTATGCTATCTTAATTAAAATTAATGAGCTGCAAAGAAGTATTAGCTTACCTACAGTAGCAGAAACACTTGGGAGATAGCATTTGAGGACTGTGTGAGGTTGCAACAGGGTTTAAAACGATTCCGTAGCAAGCAGGAGCCAGAAAAAAAACTACAGCAGCCAACTCTAGATTTAATATGGACTCTGGTGCTGCAACAACATTCAAAAGGCTTCAGAAAGGTACTCAGTAATTCTCTTGGCAATCATAAATATCACACTGAATTAGGAAATCCCTTATGTAAAAGAAAGGAAAATTCTTATGTCCTTTAATGAAATATTCTATGGATAACCTT